TGTTTTCTGTTCAGGCGTGCACAACATTTCTGTGTTTTCTGTTCAGGCGAGTACAACATTTCTGTGTCTGTACATTCTCCTACACTGGATTTATCACCCGTGCACATCTCTAGGTTATTTTTTTAAACTTAGAAGTAAAGAAACGATCTTGATAATCCCTCTATGTTGATAGAACGATTGTCGATGGGAGGGCTTTGTGACGTTAAAAGTCCATCAGCATTGAAATTGTCCACACGTCTGCGCAAAATAAGCATATTTATAAAAATAGGCGTGTCTCAATTAACTCGCAATAGTTGCATAATATATATGCGACTATCAATGGGAGATTTTTGTGACGTTAAGTCAATCAGTCAATTTTTCGCAGGTAAAACCCTCAAAACTGAAAAGATTAGTGCAAGACAGTAAAACCTAGAAGTGTTCGCAGCCTTTGTGTGTGCGCGCGGGTGTTGTGTGTGAGGGTGTGTGTGTTGTGTGTGTGTGTGTTGTGTGTGTGTGTGTGTGTGTGTGTGTGTGTTGTATGTGTTAGGGTGTGCGTGTGGTGTGTCTGTGTGTGCAGTTGTTTGTGTGAGGGATGGTGTGTGTGAGAAATGATAACACAATCTTGCATCAGATTATGTTGGTATCTTCTAAATTTGTTTTCGTATAAGTTTCATAGAAAATGAGCATACAATGAAAAAATAAAATCCTACTTCTCGGGCTTACATGCCACTCTAATGCGTAATGAAAACCAGAAAAGGGCCACAATTTCATTAATTTATTGAATTCTTGTAACATGCATTGTATGATCAGGCACAATCTAGAATTTCTGAATCGTAAAACTTGTCTGTATACAGACATATTACCTGGAGCGACTGAAACAATGATTACTGTATTAGGTTTTTAATTATTTTTGTTATATATATAAATATATATATATATATACAAAATATAAGCAAGAAGCACACAGGCCTTAACGGCCATCTGACTATAAAGACCTATGTATGAAAGAGGCCAAACAGGCCTAAAATAAACTGCCCAACTACTCTACAGCTTACAAAGAAGACATTGTTGGTTCATAAAAAACATTTTCTGCAAACTTGAAATCATATCCTTTATTCATGCTGCTACAGAGATTTCATTACTCTGGACCTATCGCTTGTTGAAAAAGATATTTTAAGGTCTCGACTCACCGCACCCAAGAGATTTTGAATATAGGTCAAGGTCAGTTATTTGAACCAATTGGTAGCTCTTCCTCCACTTATATCAAATAACCCGTTTTGGTTATTGAGAAAAAGTTGTTTAAAGATGTCAACACATTTGATCCATGTGACTTTAGAATATCTGGAGGTAATTCTTTTTCACAAACTTACCCTTTATACCAGCATGCAGCAGGCCCAACATCAGCACCATGGGCCTTTTAGTTATTGAGAAGAAGTCAGTTAAAGATTTCAACACATCTGACCCCTGTGACCTTGAAAGTAGGCCAAGGTCATTAATATGAACGCACTTGGTAGCCCTTCATGTCAGCATAGTACAGGCATAATATCAGCCCCCTGGACCTTTTGGTTATCAAGTAGATGTTTTCAAAATATTTTAACATATTTGGCCACTGTGATCTTGAAGGTAAGTCAAGGTCATTATTATAACAAACTTGGTAGCCCTTCATTCCAGCATGCTACAGGATCATTATCAGCACTATTGGCCTTTCGGTTGGGAAGAAGTCATTTAAAGATTTCAACACATTTGACCCTTGTGACCTTAAAAGTGGAGTGCACTCCACACTGCAAACTGTTTATGAAATAATTTTTCATTCAATGATTGGCAAGTTAAATTATTTGTAAACACTATTTAAGTTTTTCAAAAATTTCAAATTTTCATTTCCATGGCAACTGTAAAATGTTTAGAATGCAAAAAGAAATGATTTTTCTTTCAAATTTTAACAGATAATCTTTGTTCAGTTTCATTTTATTTATTCATGGGTTGTCTAAACTGTCATATCTGTAATCAAAAACATCTGCTTATGATCGAAAATAAATATTTTTATTAAATATTAAAATTCTGGTTGCTATGGTAACTTCATTATAGGTAAAATATGATTTTTGTCAAAAAATGTATTCCCATGTTTTTAAATATATAGGGGTTGCTTACCAAAAATTTAATAGAGAAAGGTGAAATTTCAGGCTGAAGCAAAATGACAGATTTTTGTTGGTTTCATTAAAAATTCCTGGGAGTTATGGGTCTAAAGTCTTATTCAAATAACAAGCTACATTCCTTGAATAAACAACACACACAAGGTTTATACAATGTGCCAAGTAACATATAACAGACTCAAGATATGTTGATATTCATTGGTTTATTATAATTCATATCATTACCTCCTTTATAATATATACACTAGCAGATTAACAAAATATCATTTCTATACAAATTTATCAGTTAAATAATTTTTTTCTTTGCTCTGATGATATATAATTCTTTCACTATATTGCTTAAACTTAGACAACTATTTGCTGAAAAGTTTTCATATAAATACAATTTTAATTCCATATGCATATCCAGCTATAATATACCAGCTTAATTTTAAATTATACAGAGGAATGACAGTGTTTTCAACAAAATAATAACAGTATGATATAGATAACTGTATTCTTTTCATGATCATATTGCAGTGCATTGATACAACATGTAATATATAACAATGACTAAATGACACTATTAGATTGACAATTTTACACAGGCTAATGATAATTGGTGTAACAATCATGGATTGTTCTTAAAAGGCGATGAATATATAACATGATATGTTGTGTTTATCTATTCTTACATTTTCCGTGTAAACACTGATTTCAGAATCATCAATGAAAGTTTTGTCAAGTGTGAAACATGGATTTTTACTGTTACTATCAAACTAGCATTGATAGAGGGAAGTGCAGTTATCAGACTACGAATGTCTGATGTGAGATGCAGCAAGAAATGTAAATATATATACTACATGTACTCCATAATAACGCTTAACTTTTCATTAGATATGAGGTCCATTTGAGTCAGATGACCTGAAAAAGCACCAGCAAAAAATAATAATACCACCAACAGAATCTGTTGGGGAAAAAAAAGGTTAAAACTAATATAAGCCAATTTGTTTGACCGACAACATATAACTTGAATTAGTAAAATATTTTCTACACCCTTAAACTTGAATATATATGTACATTTAACAAGAACAGAAGACTATTTCATTAAGATAGGACTAGCTTGTTGGCACAAAATAGAAATACAGAGCAGTTCATTTGTGTAATTATGTTCCCTAAATGGAGTTGTGGACATTGTTTCCGATATGTTCCTTCTTACAGTTATTTTCACTTCTTCACCAGCGAGGTTTCCGACATGTTTCTCATAGACTAGTGCATGTAATTAAACAAATTGATCAATCATGTATGAGGCGGTGTAAAAGAGCTTTTTCAATACTGTGGCCTCTGAATGGTGAAAATTTGGCCAAAATTTTGATATCGCTCGATTTTGATGAAAATTGGTATGTAGGTGTGGTTTCACACCAGAAATGGTAACAATTGTTTTCTGATTAAACAGCCATCACATAGCAGCATCTGATTGGTAGGAATTTAGTTGTCCAAGTTTCTAGTAAATTAGTTTGATGGTAACGACATCAGGAACACAAAAATAAAGTCCATTCTCTGATTTAACAAACTGGCCGCCAAGGCGAGCTTCTTTCTAATTGATACAAATTTACATACTGTCTGAATTTTTTTTAATGAAAATCGTTGGTACACTGGTATTGTCCAGCATGATAATGTTCTGTTTCTTACTGTATAAAATGCCCTACACACGTGACTAATGTGGTGAAGTTCAAATAATGTTTGACTGTGCACATCAACTACAACTGCAGGATGACTGGGGGACATGTGTAACTTGTTTTCAGTAGTTTCCGTAAAATTAACACAAACACAAACTAAGAATAAATTACTAAATAAGATATTTACAAATAAACACCCATTGAGAATGATAAATGCTCACCAGATTGTAGAAAAAGTACAAAGTATACACGATTATCCAATAGTATTACATTAAAAACACATAGGAATATAAAGCAATAATTTGCTGAATGTATTCTCCACCAGAAGAAATAGAACTGACCATAACAAAATCACAGCTTTGACTTACATACAATCTTTATCATCATTACTCTATTTTCTGTATTTTGTAATTTTATCAATTTTTTTTCAATGTGATCCATATATTAGCCATACCAGAAAATAAGCAGCACTCCTTTCTTATGATATGGTAACCATTATGTTGACCTAAGATGGTTGGTAAACAGATGATGGCAGGCACTTGCAAAGATTGTCAGTGAAACATTTAATAAAGTATACAAACGAAATATGCACAAATATTTCTTTTTTTTTAATTATTCTGATCATTTATAATACATAAATTATTTAATCTACATTTTTAAAAAAAATATTCTGGTCTTTTTTAGTAAAAGTACATAAAATATTGAACTCGTTTATAGCCTTCAAAGATTGTCTACATACAGATATAGGGCTAACATTACATGTTTTATGAAACATCCTTTCTTTTTCTCTCAGATAAGTTTTACAGCTCTACAGTGGAATAAAAGTACTGATACACATATTTAAGCAGTCATTGATAGTGTATGTGTGTGTGGACACATATTTAAGCAGTCATTGATAGTGTATGTGTGTGTGGACACATATTTAAGCAGTCATTGATAGTGTATGTGTGTGTGGACACATATTTAAGCAGTCATTGATAGTGTATGTGTGTGTGGACACATATTGAAGCAGTCATTGATAGTGTATGTGTGTGTGGACACATATTGAAGCAGTCATTGATAGTGTATGTGGACACATATTGAAGCAGTTATTGATAGTGTATGTGTGTGTGGACACATATTTAAGCAGTCATTGATAGTGTATGTGTGTGTGGACACATATTTAAGCAGTCATTGATAGTGTATGTGTGTGTGGACACATATTTAAGCAGTCATTGATAGCGTATGTGTGTGTGGACACATATTTAAGCAGTCATTGATAGTGTATGTGTGTGTGGACACATATTTAAGCAGTCATTGATAGTGTATGTGTGTGTGGACACATATTTAAGCAGTCATTGATAGTGTATGTGTGTGTGGACACATATTTAAGCAGTCATTGATAGTGTATGTGTGTGTGGACACATATTTAAGCAGTCATTGATAGTGTATGTGTGTGTGGACACATATTTAAGCAGTCATTGATAGTGTATGTGTGTGTGGACACATATTGAAGCAGTCATTGATAGTGTATGTGTGTGTGGACACATATTTAAGCAGTCATTGATAGTGTATGTGTGTGTGGACACATATTTAAGCAGTCATTGATAGTGTATGTGTGTGTGGACACATATTGAAGCAGTCATTGATAGTGTATGTGTGTGTGGACACATATTTAAGCAGTCATTGATAGTGTATGTGTGTGTGGACACATATTTAAGCAGTCATTGATAGTGTATGTGGACACATATTGAAGCAGTCATTGATAGTGTATGTGTGTGTGTACACATATTTAAGCAGTCATTGATAGTGTATGTGTGTGTGGACACATATTTAAGCAGTCATTGATAGTGTATGTATGTGTGTACACATATTTAAGCAGTCATTGATAGTGTATGTGTGTGTGGACACATATTTAAGCAGTCATTGATAGTGTATGTGAGTGTGGATGTTAAAATTAACAGTGTAATATATAATGTAACAGATGTATAACCGGGCATGGTTACGTATATCAATATTATCCTGCATAATGTCACCATGGAAGATGGAATTAATTATTTAAGATGTACAGCACTTAAAAAGCATTGTTCAGAGATAGAGGTCACATACAAGCTGCGCCCGTCTATAAGCTGTATGCCCAATTCATGAGAAAAAAAGTAGCTGCTTACAATCTGGAAAATATGGTACACTGCACACTTGATTGTAGTTCTATATTTGTATCCTAAAAAATGGTGAGAATTAAAAAAATTGTTACAAAATGTGACGGAGCTCTGAAGATAACAAAATCTTTATCACATTAAATAACACAGATACTTATATCACAGATAGAGACTAAATCAACCAATTAAACAGCATGTTGACAAATATCACTGTCTAAAACACCATATACATACAAAGTCTTTGCGTTAACTAAGTAGTCTGCTGTTTGCGTATATGTATTAGGCCATTTCAAGACTAGGAAGACTTTTAACAGCTGCCGTCTTCCTGATCGGGCCTCGCTTGGGATCTATGATTCTTTGATCTTCCGGAATATTACTGCAAATAAGAATTTGTTTAGCATTAAAAAATGATTGATGAATGATTTCTGGTTATACAAATTACATACAAGAGACCACAGAGGGATCTTGGCACCTACCCTAATTTGATCTTTATTTGTTCTTTAAAAGTTAGATCTTTTCCCTTCTTTCCTTTGTTTACACTCTTAATGATACGAAATTTGAACATTCATTTGCAACAATAACAAAAATAATCTTCATTTGCCAAACCCATGTTTCTCTGATCCCAAAATCAAACAGGCACAAATAGGGAGCAAGGGCAACCCACATATTAAGTTTTAGAGAGATCCACTGAGTCTTCTAGCTTCTCAAGAAACAGAGATAACAAACTTTTCTAGACAAAATCCAAGATGGCAGTATGTCGGAAATTTTGTTTTTCTGATCAGTCATAAAATAATACAGGCAAAATTACTGGCAAAGGAGAACCTTCATATGAAATTTGAGAGAGATCCATCCCGTACTTCTCAAGAAACAGAGATAACAAACTTTTCTCCATCAGTTGGCCATTTTGTTTTTCTGATTATTTCCAATATCAAACAGGCACAAAAGGGATCAAGAGACACCTACGTAGGAAATACGAGTCCATCAAGAGCTTCTCAAGAAATAAAAATAACTAGGTTTTATTGTTAAAATCTAGACAGACAATGGATGAGAGATATAAAGATGGACCATTGACATAAGGCGATTTGAATATACCTTACAACAGATTTGTAAAAGAATCATACAGGGAAAATCATTATCTATACAAAACATTATCCTCATTTTCTTCAAATATCGTTATCATATTTTTGTGAAACAAAACTCATGAGAGTTAAAGCAATATTTTAATCAATATTCATTTAAACACATGTAAATATAATCTGCACTACTATATGGCTGATCAATATAACTTTATATCAACACCAGAACATACTTATACAAGTATACACAATATATAGTCTGGCTGAACAATATAACTTTATATCAACACCAGAACATACTTATACAAGTATACACAATATATATAGTCTGGCTGAACAATATAACTTTATATCAACACCAGAACATACTTATACAAGTATACACAATATATAGTCTGGCTGAACAATATAACTTTATATCAACACCAGAACATACTTATACAAGTATACACAATATATAGTCTGGCTGAACAATATAACTTTATATCAACACCAGAACAAACTTATAGAAGTATACATAATATATATCAAATTACTGGTATATCTGTGTTGGTATATAAAAACAGAAAAGAGATATGGACTAAGCAGCTAGGCAATGAATTTCAAATGTTACTTTTTGTCATGAAAAGACTACATCATGCAAAATACAAAACAGGTTAAACTGACAATTTTTGTGATCAAGTGTTGGAAGCATGATACCAATACCAGTAACCACTTGTGATATTTATTATGAAGATCACAACAGACAGACACTAGACATCTAGAAAATTTAAATGTCATCACATCTAATGAACAAGATTATCTCCCCTGGCATTAGACATATATCACATTGTATACATATATAGGGTACTTCTAGATGTGGTACCTAAGATGTTAATATGTGCATATATATATCAATGTTAAGTGTATAATCTTAATGATCACTACAAGGAATGTTGTACTATTTCTGTCAGTGTGTAGAACTATCAGTAGTAAAAGATTTACATATGTATACAACTTGTATTGAATTATTTACGAAATAACTTGTCTTTGTTGTTACCAAGTTAGTAAACTGCATTTTTAACAGATACTTTTTATAGTATAGATAAAACAAACTTAAGTGAGTTATAATAAGATATCTGTAAAAATGCACTTTACACATAAAATGAAAAAAAAAGAAATTTCTTAAATCTACAGTTTGACTGTTTTTTTATACTCCCTGCAACTAAAAGTGCCGGGGAATATATACTAGAATCACCCTGTCTGTCTGTCCGTCCATCTGTCCACCCACTAAGAGAACTACCCCTAACCGTGAATTGATTCCAAGGAAACTTTGCATTGATATAAAGAACAATATGTAGATATGTTTGCAATATTTTTCTCGGAAATTTTGGTTGTTAATTGAGGTCTTTGCATCTGTAGGGGGAGGGGCATCAATTAAAATCTGGCTGACAGTTTTTAGGGGCAAGTCTTTTTTAAAATCCAGTATTTAAAAAACCACAAACATTATTCATTGGACATTATTGTTACTGAAGGAATAGCCAGACAACTGATGGAATGGTAAAATTTGGGGAGAAAGATTGTCAGACTTAACATTTACTGAAGTACAAACATTCAATTTGCTGGTAAGGATAAATGGAGAACATACACCAGAGAGATAGCCATTCACAGAAAATCATCCTATGTCTGTGATACAATGTACACTACAAGGAACCAAATGGCCTTCACAGTCACATCAATAAGTTCTATCCAAACTGGCCTTAACAGTCACATCAATAAGTTCTATACAAACTGGCCTTAACAGTCACATCAATAAGTTCTATCCAAACACGCCTTAACAGTCGTATCAATAAGTTCTATACAAACTGGCCTTCACAGTCACATCAATAAGTTCTTTCCAAACTGGCCTTAACAGTCACATCAATAAGTTCTATACAAACTGGCCTTAACAGTCACATCAATAAGTTCTATCCAAACTGGCCTTAACAGTCACATCAATAAGTTCTATACAAACTGGCCTTAACAGTCACATCAATAAGTTCTATACAAACTGGCCTTAACAGTCACATCAATAAGTTCTATACAAACTGGCCTTAACAGTCACATCAATAAGTTCTATACAAACTGGCCTTAACAGTCACATCAATAAGTTCTATACAAACTGGCCTTAACAGTCACATCAATAAGTTCTATACAAACTGGCCTTCACAGTCACATCAATAAGTTCTATACAAACTGGCCTTAACAGTCACATCAATAAGTTCTATCCAAACTGGCCTTAACAGTCACATCAATAAGTTCTATCCAAACTGGCCTTAACAGTCGTATCAATAAGTTCTATAATGACTGTAATTTCTCTTGTGGCAGACCATTGAAATTTGGTACACTGCACATTGCCTTCATATGATCAATGTTTACATCAAGTTTCATTTTCCTTGTTTAAATGCAAGTGATTTAAAGTTGTGCTCTACACACAAAATTTCAATAAAGGGCAATAACTCTGTCATTGTGGGGTCTAGGTCTCTGAATTTCGTACAGTACTACACATCCGCTCAGTATGACCAATGTATACATGACGTTGCGTGCCTCTTTCTTGAGTACAGGTCTAGTTATACTCTGGAAACAAAAGGACAAACGAAAAGACAGATGAAGACAGACAGACGGACGAAAGAAAAGAAAAGGCAACAACTATAGACTCCCCCAAAAAGTTTTGGGGAGCATAACAACATATATACATTTATACTGACATATGTAGACATACAATAAAGCATTATATAGCTATCAATACTGTAAGTGCACTAATAACAAAAGCCACATGAAACTTGTGCCCAAAACAACACCGTAAGAGTCATACCTCTCTCTAGAGCTTGAAGGGAGAAAGAAATATAGAAGTATGAAACCCTTGTGTAGTAATCTTATCTTCATTAATGATGCAAAGATACACTAGATCTTCTTAAGCCAATACCAGCAAACATGCAAAGCATGCACAATGACCATAGATCTCCTGTCACCTTGAAAAGAGATTAAGGTCATGCATTTGAACAAATCTGGTAGTCTTTCATCCAGCATGCAATTAGCCAAATATCAATGTCATAGGACACTTGATTATTTTTTTGAGATTTGTTTTAAAAGTATTTCATTTTACCTCTGTGACAATAAATATGGGTTAAAGTTATTCACCTGTACAAAATCTGTAGCCCTAAAACCTATCATGTAAGTGATAAATTATCATTGCCCTGGAATTTTTTATTATGTAGATGTAGCTGTTTAAAAGATTTTTCACATTTGATCCCCCTAAAAGTGGGCCAAGATCATTAATTTGAACAAGCTTGATATCCCTTCCAGCATTCCATAGGGTTTAAGAAATTTAACCCCTTCTACTTTGAACAAGAGGCCCAATGGGCCTGTACCACTCACCTGATATTCAAATTGTTAATATCAAATATATTGACACATATACCAATGGAATTCAAAGTGGACAAATCCAATGAATTTTAACCAATTTCCACAACAAAGAACTTTCAATATTCAACTAAAAACAGTTACTGTTATGACCAGGATCTGAAGTTTTTTTTTTTTTTTTTTTAAGTTTATTGACCTTTTCCCTAGAAACAACCTTTCCACCAAATATCATGCTTTTCCGATTTTTGGTTTACCAGAAGAAATCTTTTACAGGTTTCAAACAATTTTATCCCTGTGACATTCAATATGGGCCAAGGTCAATCTTCTCGCATACATCGTCAGTCATCATCCTAGGAAGCTACCACCAAATACTATTCTCCACATTTTGGTTAGTGAAAAAAAGTCCTATAAAAGACTTAAGAAATTTGACAGCTGTGACCTAGAATAAGGGTCAAGTTCATTTCCTTCCGCAAACTTTGTCTGGCTTCATCCTGGGAACTTGTCAGCCAAATATCATGCTTCTACATCTTTCAATTAGTCAGAAAAAGTTGTTTAAAGGTTTAAACAAATTTGACAAGAGTGACCTTGAATAATGGTTGAGGTTACTTCTTTCTCTGGCTAAAGATTTAAAGAAATTTCACCCCTGTGACCTCAATAAAGGTCCAGGTCTTTTTTTTCTCTCAAACTTTAATAAATTTGTGTAGAAAATCTTCTGAAAATTGACCAGTTTCAGTGTATGAAGATTGCTAACTACAAGGTTTCAGGATTTGTTACGATTCCTACAATATTTACAGTATACACATATACTGATTTTCTTAACAAAAGTGTCGGTCTTCAGAGATATATTTATATAAACTAAATGATCATGATTAGGAGAGGCGGACTAGGTAGATAAAAATGTGCCCATTTATACTTAAACAAAGCATACTGCAATGAGAGTGGATTTTAAAACCATGCTGAAATGACTACAATATAATACTAAATAACTATACAGCCTGGTTCTAACTACTCTTATACATTCTAGTAAGCATAAAAGGGCAGTTTCAAAAACAAGAGGCCAATAGGGTCTGTATGTATTGCTCAACTGGCTTGGTTTGGCTGAAATTGCTCTATCCAAACTAAAGGAAAAGCAATTTTAAAGATTTCTTTGTATTTCCCTTTTGGACCCCACCATTCTGCCCCAGGAGATCAGACAATCCATTTACATAACGACCTCTTCTCCCAAGAATGCTTCAGACCAAATTTGGATAAAATACCTACGTTCTGGTAGAAGAAGGACTCTTTAAGAATTTGTGCTATTTCCCTATTGAGCCCTGCCCCTTCTACCCCAGGCAGACTGGAGACCAACTTCTTATACAAAATTGAGTCCTGTTCACCAAAGAATCCTTCAAACCAAATTTAGGCAAAAACCCGAAGGAGGAGTAGGATTTAAAACCAGAGAGATCTCTGCAGAAACAAGTGTTTGATTTTTAATTGTTTACCCCTTCTGCTAAGACATTTGAATATTCTTCTGAAGAAATAGTGATAACAAGTTTTCTTTGTTGATTTCCAAAATAGCAATCTGTCGGCCATTTTGTTTTTCAGTCCCAAAATCAAATGTACAGAACAAAGGACCAAAGAGGGAACCTACATTGGAAATATTAAAAAAAGATCTATCTAGTACTTCTCAAGAAATTGTGATAACAGCTGTCATTTAAAAAAATCTTATATGGCCAACTGTTGGCCATTTCATTGTTCTGATCAGTCCTAAAATCTAGCTGGCACACCCAGAGACAAAATTCCCAAAATGTGAGAAAGATCCACCCAGTGCTTCTCAGGAAAGAGTGAGAACAAATCTCATTTAAAAAGATACAAGATGTTCTCAGCAATTCCAAAATCTAACCAACACAACTGAAGATAAATGGGAACCTACGAATGAAATTGGAGTAAGATCCATCGGGTACCTCTCATGGAATAGCAATAAAAATGTCAAAGATAGCTGCCCACTGGCCAATTTCATTTTCTGTTCAGTCCAAAAGGCAAACAGGCACAACTAGGGACCAACATATGAAATTTGAGAAAGATCTATTCCTCACTTCTCAAGAAATAATAACAAAATTTCATAGTCAAAAACAACGATATGTAATTGTTGGCTATTTTGTTGTTCTGATCAGTCCCGAAATCTAACAGGTACTTGAAGGGACAATAGGGAACCTACACATGAAATCTGAGAAAGATGTGTCTAGTACTTCTCAAGAAATAACAGTAACAAGAATTGTTTATGAAGGGATGGACGAAGGACCAAGAACAAAAGACTATTTGAACAACTGACCTGCAAGCATCTCAATGCTCTATTTCCACTATTGGGCCAATCCCTCCCACCCCTGGGGGCCTGCAAATACTTCTTCTTTCCCAAGAATGGTTCTGACCAAATTTGGCTGTTTAGTTGTTAATGCCTAGTAGCAATTTTCAGGAAAAAGAACTCACCAGTCCTTCAAACCAGTGAGCAAATAACATACGTCTTTCTGTCAAGAACCCAAGGTTCAAATATATGTGTAAGAGGAAAGTTAAGACATCTCCAAGCTGATTAATATACAAGATGTCCTTATCAAGTAAACAAATGTAATTGCAACAGTTTATTAAAATGTTCCTATAGTGCTATGATTTCAAGTGATGTATTAAAAGAATTAAGGGTTATTTACAGCAGCAGTAGAAGATCTACACAACATACAGAGTACACAGAACAGGCTACTTTTATCTACAGTGGAACTTCTCCAAACTAATCATGAATAGGACATGAATATTTCACTGGTTTAGGGAAGGTTTGGTCTGCAGAAGTGAATAGTCTACCAGTCAAATTTCTAATATAATTGACCCAATTCTGCTGTGTACCTAACATTTGCCATTCCGTAATTAAATTCATCGAAGTATGAAGGAAGAATAGGGTTTTGAAGCAAAATATTGACTAACTTCCCCTTTTGGTGTCATGTCCCCAAGTCACTAGGGGTCAAATCTACTGATGCTTCAAAAAATTTGATCAAAATTGGTTCAGTCATTCAGGTCTAAGTAGATATTTAGACAGACGGACAGACACCGGACAGACAATGGACACCATGGTCTGCCATACATTGTAATGATGATATTTGTTATGTGAAAAATTATTCAGACGATGCGAGAAAGTTTGAACAACTTTAAGAAGTATTGGAATTACACGTTACTAGGTAATAACTTTGCCATCCTACATTTATACTACAAAAATGAATAAATTATTTAACATAGTATCAGAAATAGGGAGACAATCATTGATGTCAACAACACTGTATTGTGTTGCAATTTAAAATGATGTTTTATCAGGCCTTTATACAAAAACAAGCATTGATTATTAAAGAAAGGAGGAAAAAAAAAACCCAAAAAACCACATAGGATTTCTAGATTTAAACCTTGGTTTTTCAATATTCAACAAAATGAACAAACATTTTATGCACAGGTAAAAAAATTGAACCTGTTTGATAGCGTACATTATTTCTCACAAATCTATATACACATGTATATATAAAACTTTTGGCTTGTATACATGATTATGTAAAAATATTGCACACCTTTCAAACTGTTTCAATTTTTCTACAGGTAAGAGACATTTTAGCAAACTGATCATTAAATGAGCGCTAATCAACATCACATGACTACATTAATAATTCTCGCCAGCCTAAGAACATATATAGCAGTTGTTTACAATAGACGTTTTACTGTAGCTAGCCTGCGACTACCAGTGATAGATATACCTATTTCGGGTAAAACTGGTCCATGTAGGATCCATGTATCGAGGTCCTCTTATGTTTGGAGGAGGATGGTTTTTATTTGTCTTTGACCAATTGTCAATATGCGAACACCTAAAACTAAAGATTTTGCCCTTTCTTACGTTTAAGCTTCACATCACTTATTGCAAATTTGCGTACAGACTAAACAGATGTACTAGAATGGGGATAAACCCAGGTAGCATACTGATCACCTGATTTACTCTCATCTTGCTGTTCATGCACTTAACAAGCTTGAAAGCAAGCACAAGTTTTTCACATAAAAAGTGTAAAATAAGTCATCGCACAAAGAAAATTTATCACTTTATATCCAATTCTCAAAAACTACCTAAATATGCCATTTCAGAGGCCTTTTATTAATCCATTGTTCATCAAGATGCTATAAATAACACCCAGTCAAGTTTAAATTGATTTATGACAGGGTTCACTATTTCAAATTATTTCAAACATGCAAAAAATGTTGAATTTTTGGCATATTTTAAGACATGACAACTTGTCACAGCAGCGACCGAATGCATCTACTTCAGGTTCTCTTACAACTGAGACTTTTATTTATCATTTGGCCCATTATGTAGAGAGCCTGTGGTGAAAATTTCAGAATTGTTGTTTAAATCTGGGTAAGAATGTAGTAGTTATCTATCTCCAAGAAATTCCAATGAATCATTATGGAATATATGTTCCTGTTTGGCAGTCAATCTTACAATATCGGCTCTATGTTTTTACGGCTTATATGCCCTTAATAAAGTCTTTAGTGAATATTGTAAAATAATTTATGAAATATTTTCTCTGTAAATTTAAATGTCTTATATTTTTCTATACTTTTTCAGTGTTTTCAATGTTGAATAGAAATGTTATGGGTTGTCCCTCAAGTTACTACAAATAACACACAGTAAAGTCAAAATTGATTTGTGGACAAAATCCTATTGCTCCTGAATAGGTTCTTTCAAATAGATCAATCATAACTTACCGGCCCATGTCTCTTGGTGTTCTTGAGCCAGGTATTGGTTCCAATTCTCTGTGTGATACTGGTAGTCTGTTCCTGGTTGCTGCAGTAGCTGCTGCATGGATTTCTGTTGAGTATGTCTTCCTTTCTTCATGTGCTTTGTGATATGCCTAATTGAAAACATAACTTGTTAATGGACTTTCTACTGTAAAGGACTGCATACTACTGTAACTTGTTGCCCGACTTTTTAGAACTAGAGGTCCAAGTGTCTTATCAGTCACCTGAGTAACAATGCTGTCATTCTTCTTGTAACATGTCAAAGGAATAATCTTGATAATGATAACTATAATTACATTGTTCATATGACGCAAATGTAAACTGTGTATAATATTAACTGCCACCCCAAGCTATGGCTTCTATCTACATTTGAAATTTCAGCCAAAAAATGTAATTTTCCAATATAAACTCTTCCATCCAGAAACAGTATTTGATAAATAGGTATTGAGGGTACTGGGGGTCAGCCAGGATCAATATGTAAATATCATAAAACTGTTATGCTTAGTGACAATTCTAACCAAGTTTAAACTATTCCCTAAAGAAAATATCCAATCATGCTCTAACATGTAGTTTTCCTATATAAACCAGTAAAAATGGGAGACCCTGGGCTCATAATATTTACAATGTTGGTAAAAGGCCTTTCCATGAAGGGTATTGGATTCTACCATACTTTGGTATTGAGAAGTACATTTTTGAAGTTTCAATTGATTTGACTCTTTTTGACCCTGCCTCCCCAGACCCCTGGGGATTGTGAACTACAAACAATGTAATTTACAATTATGGTGCACTTTTTGTCACGGACAATTTCTGCAAAATTTCATTTTAATCAGTTAAGGGGTTTTCCAGAAGATGTCACAAATGTTAAAAGTTTACGACACAACGATGTCAGACCAAAGTTTATCCCAGTAGGTCACCATGAAACTGATTTTTTTTAAACACCACCATAACATTCAGCTTCATATTTATTATATGTAAATGGAAAAATAAAAATAGTTTTGTTTAAATATACTCTCTAATTTAAAGATAAGTTTATGGGTGGGGTTTTGTAAATTTTTTGTCTAATTTCAAAGTTTAAGCATGTTCCTTTGGTAGTTCACAGAATTTAACCAACACCATAATTACCTGGATTATACCTTTTTATCTGGTGTATCAATATTTCTTTGGATTAAAGAGTGACACTGCATCAAAATGGGAAAAAGCACCAAGAGACGAGCTTGTTCACATTGAATAAATGATGGATGGTAAATACTAGAGGGGAGTTATTTATTATCTAACTTGTTTTATTCGTTTGTTTTCATTCAATTTCATTTTGTTAATTTTTGTTTTGTTTAAGAGATAATTCTACGTCTGAAATAATGATAAACCTAAGTTTGCCTTTCCATGGTTATATATAGTTGTACATGAAACTGGTAGTAAATATAACTGAACATTTTTTTAAGTACATACATGAATGAACTGGATTTTATCCACACTAAACACTTAGCTTGCTGTAATAGTTTAAGTGTAAATTCTTTCCAGATGGTGCTGATGTCTTCAAATGTGAGGCCACAAAAGGGAAACAGGAGAATATGGATATATTTCAAATTCTCATTAACATGTATATCAATGTCAGTGCATGATCGATTAAAGAACATGAGCATCAAATGTTTTCACACAAGTTAGCCTGTTCACATGGTCTATGGTAATAAAACTACAAAGGGCCATAACTCTGTGAATTACAATTAAATCCTTGATATTGTCAATCTCACATGAAAATTATTTACATAAAGTTGCATACCAGGTTTCATCAAAATTGGTTTATATTTACTCAAGTTTTTGTGTTCAGAAGAAAATGTTATCACATGGCACACGACGACTCACAATTAACGACCGTTATAGGTCACCATGACCTATAATCTGATGAACTACAAACCTAGGGAATGATAGGAAACCAACCATAGATTAGGGAGAAAATACAAGCAAAATGTTACTGGAGTTGTCTAACAACTGCCATTGTAAACAACAATCAATGGAATATACAAATAGCAACAATGTATCATTTTATATAATACTGAGAAGCTGTCCGATGTACAACATCTAAAGATCGTACAAAACATCATTTTATATAATACTGAGTAGCTGTCCGATGTACAACATCTAAAGATCGTACAAAACATCATTTTATATAATACTGAGTAGCTGTCCGATGTACAACATCTAAAGATCGTACAAAACATCATTTTATATAATACTGAGTAGCTGTCCAATGTACAACATCTAAAGATCGTACAAAACATCATTTTATATAATACTGAGTAGCTGTCCGATGTACAACATCTAAAGATCGTACAAAACATCATTTTATATAATACTGAGTAGCTGTCCGATGTACAACATCTAAAGATCGTACAAAACATCATTTTGTATAATACTGAGAAGCTGCCCATGTACAACATCTAAAGATCGTACAAAACATCATTTTATATAATACTGAGTAGCTGTCCGATGTACAACATCTAAAGATCGTACAAAACATCATTTTATATAACACTGAGTAGCTGTCCGATGTACAACATCTAAAGATCGTACAAAACATCATTTTGTATAATACTGAGAAGCTGCCCATGTACAACATCTAAAGATCGTACAAAACATCATTTTATATAATACTGAGTAGCTGTCCGATGTACAACATCTAAAGATCGTACAAAACATCATTTTATATAATACTGAGTAGCTGTCCGATGTACAACATCTAAAGATCGTACAAAACATCATTTTATATAATACTGAGTAGCTGTCCGATGTACAACATCTAAAGATCGTACAAAACATCATTTTATATAATACTGAGTAGCTGTCCGATGTACAACATCTAAAGATCGTACAAAACATCATTTTATATAACACTGAGTAGCTGTCCGATGTACAACATCTAAAGATCGTACAAAACATCATTTTATATAATACTGAGAAGCTGCCCATGTACAACATCTAAAGATCATACAAAACATCATTTTATATAATACTGAGATGCTGCCCATGTACAACATCTAAAGATCGTACAAAACATCATTTTATATAATACTGAGTAGCTGTCCGATGTACAACATCTAAAGATCGTACAAAACATCATTTTATATAATACTGAGTAGCTGTCCGATGTACAACATCTAAAGATCGTACAAAACATCATTTTATATAATACTGAGTAGCTGTCCAATGTACAACATCTAAAGATCGTACAAAACATCATTTTATATAATACTGAGTAGCTGTCCGATGTACAACATCTAAAGATCGTACAAAACATCATTTTATATAATACTGAGTAGCTGTCCGATGTACAACATCTAAAGATCGTACAAAACATCATTTTGTATAATACTGAGAAGCTGCCCATGTACAACATCTAAAGATCGTACAAAACATCATTTTATATAATACTGAGTAGCTGTCCGATGTACAACATCTAAAGATCGTACAAAACATCATTTTATATAACACTGAGTAGCTGTCCGATGTACAACATCTAAAGATCGTACAAAACATCATTTTGTATAATACTGAGAAGCTGCCCATGTACAACATCTAAAGATCGTACAAAACATCATTTTATATAATACTGAGTAGCTGTCCTATGTACAACATCTAAAGATCGTACAAAACATCATTTTATATAATACTGAGTAGCTGTCCGATGTACAACATCTAAAGATCGTACAAAACATCATTTTATATAATACTGAGTAGCTGTCCAATGTACAACATCTAAAGATCGTACAAAACATCATTTTATATAATACTGAGTAGCTGTCCGATGTACAACATCTAAAGATCGTACAAAACATCATTTTATATAATACTGAGTAGCTGTCCAATGTACAACATCTAAAGATCGTACAAAACATCATTTTATATAATACTGAGTAGCTGTCCGATGTACAACATCTAAAGATCGTACAAAACATCATTTTATATAACACTGAGTAGCTGTCCGATGTACAACATCTAAAGATCGTACAAAACATCATTTTGTATAATACTGAGAAGCTGCCCATGTACAACATCTAAAGATCGTACAAAACATCATTTTATATAATACTGAGAAGCTGTCCGATGTACAACATCTAAAGATCGTACAAAACATCATTTTATATAATACTGAGTAGCTGTCCGATGTACAACATCTAAAGATCGTACAAAACATCATTTTATATAATACTGAGTAGCTGTCCGATGTACAACATCTAAAGATCGTACAAAACATCATTTTATATAATACTGAGTAGCTGTCCAATGTACAACATCTAAAGATCGTACAAAACATCATTTTATATAATACTGAGTAGCTGTCCGATGTACAACATCTAAAGATCGTACAAAACATCATTTTATATAATACTGAGTAGCTGTCCGATGTACAACATCTAAAGATCGTACAAAACATCATTTTATATAACACTGAGTAGCTGTCCGATGTACAACATCTAAAGATCGTACAAAACATCATTTTGTATAATACTGAGTAGCTGTCCGATGTACAACATCTAAAGATCGTACAAAACATCATTTTATATAATACTGAGTAGCTGTCCGATGTACAACATCTAAAGATCGTACAAAACATCATTTTATATAATACTGAGTAGCTGTCCAATGTACAACATCTAAAGATCGTACAAAACATCATTTTATATAATACTGAGTAGCTGTCCGATGTACAACATCTAAAGATCGTACAAAACATCATTTTATATAATACTGAGTAGCTGTCCGATGTACAACATCTAAAGATCGTACAAAACATCATTTTATATAATACTGAGTAGCTGTCCGATGTACAACATCTAAAGATCGTACAAAACATCATTTTATATAATACTGAGTAGCTGTCCAATGTACAACATCTAAAGATCGTACAAAACATCATTTTATATAATACTGAGATGCTGCCCATGTACAACATCTAAAGATCATACAAATGACACACAAGTGAATAGCAAATTGTCATAATTTAGAGTGAGAAACAGCAGAGTCAAACTATACATTATACAGCTGTTTCATCCTCGTAAGTGATGCTATGGGCCTGAATTTTGAAACCTAGGAGGCGACTAAGGAAAATCCAAAGTGATCAAAAGGAAAATTGAAATCTAGATGGACAGGTGCAGCCCCATAATAAGATAAATTTCGTAATTTTCATCAAATAAAGACTGGACATTTCTTTTTTACCTTAGATTCCTGGTCAAGTCTCCATTCTATGTCTCGCATCTGGCTGTGTAGCATATTCTTCTCCTTTTCCAACATTCGGACCATGTGTGGAGTTGCCTTTATGAAAATATAATCTATTTCATTTTGTCTAAAAATAAAAGTTGGCTTGTAAAAACTTTATTGTTTTTCACTGTCATGTCAAATTGATATGTGCTAAGCTAGAGCATTAAATGGTTACTTTTTCTTTCTGTAATCAAATAAATGAACTTATATTTGTCATCATTTATTTAAATAATACTCAATCTTACGTCTGATAGATCATCAAAGTTCTTCATGTCTTTCGTTGATTTTCCAGCTTAAAAAAGAAAACGACAAGGTTATGCTTAATAAATTTTGTAAAAATGTGATTGATAAACAAGATATGATATGTTTGCATAATAACAAGGCAAAACAACAGCCATGATTTAAGTTAAGAGATAAATAAAATCTTTTATTTAGGATCAAGTTATGCACCATATTGAGCCAAATTATTACATGAAAATTACAAGATGTTTACAATATTTATCACATGGCCCGTTAATGATATAATGACATTAAATTTCACTATGAATCACAAGTTTTCAGCATCCTGTGATTTTTAGCAGACATAATTAATGTAATTAATGATTGAATTGGGTGTTGACAATAATAAAAGAAAGACTATTTGAGCAGAGTATACATTTAGATAAAAAACATTTAAATCCAACATGTGCTAGATTGTTATAATGTGCTCTTTTGAACCGATTTTTTAATATAATTTCAGCATGGATCACCGGATTGAAACCACAAGACAGCTGACCATGATTTTGGTTATTTAACAACAAAGAAATGAGTTCCCTTTTCCCACAACACTGTTAAATTGATATTAAACCAAATCCATAAAGCTTCAGTACTCCTACCATTAAATATCTTGTCTCTTCCTGAAAGTTTGAAAGAAATGGGAGTGTAAACTACATCGACAGCATTTATAAAATGCACACTTACAACACCATTGATCATACAACTGTATGATATAAAATATTCTACCTTCACCCTATCATTTGAAACCAGAACATCATCACGACCTGAACACATTTTGGTTAATTCCAGCACTTCAAATCTATTTCACCTAACCAACAATACAAATAAACGAAAGCATTATAAAAACATATAAAGACACGTATTTGTTTGTACAAGTATTCTACTGAGTATGATTGTAACTACAACACTCAATCTATATGTCTACTGTGAAGTTAGTAACTACTATTAGCAATTATCAACTACTTTCACCACCATCTTCAACATTGAAACACTAAACTTTAAACAACTAGCTTTAAAGTATTTACCATGCTAACACTGTTCTGGGAGACAATAATTTATCATTTAAATTTGAACATTTAAGATAGATGTAATAAGACTGAACTATATATGGTATTTAGTTTTAAGTGACCTAACATCACTTGATACAGTATAATTAATTGTGTATTACTATCAACATATATATATGTTTAAACTTATTAGGAATTGGTAAATATTCTCCTTGGATCTATTAAGATTTTGATAATTTTAATGAATCACTTTGAATATGATAAAAATTTGATATGTGAAATCATTTAATGATACAAAAACTGGATGACAGTTTGATTTAACAAGAGGCCCAAGGAGCCTGTATTGCTCAACTAGATATTTAAGCTTTTACTGAAATATGGACTGACAGAAGGACTGATAGATAGACTGGTAGATAGATTGAAAGATGGAATGACAGATGGACTGATAGATAGACTGATAGATGGAATGACAGATGGACTGAAAGATGGCCTGATAGATAGACTGATAGATAGACTGAAAGATGGAATGACAGATGGACTGATAGATAGACTGATAGATGGAATGACAGATGGACTGAAAGATGGCCTGATAGATAGACTGATAGATAGACTGAAAGATGGAATGACAGATGGACTGATAGATAGACTGATATATGGAATGACAGATGGACTGATAGATAGACTGATATATGGAATGACAGAGGGACTAACAGATGATGTGGCTCCTTTGCATTCTTGTTCAGTTTTGAATCACTTTGTCCTTGACCTTTGGACTCAAAGGTCAAACCAAGTGACCTTGATCTTTTGGTCAGTTAACTTGTTTAATACTGACCAACTTGGCTTCATAACAGCATCACAAAACCGTGAAAAGCTACAAAATTTAGCCTTCAACCTCTTTGTTCTGGGGTGACCTTAACCTTTGTTCAGTTGATTAATTGTTTAATTCTGATCAACTTTGCTTCATAATGAAATAACTAAATATTTGAGATATATGAGAAGATAAAAAAAATCAATCACCTCTCGACCTTGACACTTTTGGTCAGTTAAGTTGTTCTGATCAATTTTACTTCATAATGTCATAACAAGATGTTCATTGGTGAAAAGGTACCAAATTTGACTTTAACCTTTGTACCTACTGACCTTGACCTTTGACTTAGGATTTTGGTCAGTTGTCTTGTTGTTAAATTCTGACAAGCTTTGCTTGATAATGTCCTTACAAAATGATTTTCAGGGAAAAGCTACAAAATTTTGACATTGACCAAGTAAAAAATACACAAGATTTCAGCAGATAGCTCAAGTTCAGGACAGACAGACAGTTGGACAGATGGTGATCACAAAAGAGCATCTGTATCATGGATATGGAGTCCTAACAAGAGTTTTTCATGATCCTTGCTTAACTGTGGGAAAAGTTAAGCTCCAGACATAGAAAGGGCAGATAGACAGAAAAACAGACAGACCAAGCAGCAACGATAATGAACAAATTTTAGGGAGCATGAAAAAAAGGACAGACACTGTTAGACAGATGCCTGATGACTGATGGGAAAATGAAGGACTCTGTGTCATAGCATAAGGTCTATCTACTGTAGAAATTCCTTTTAATAACATGAGGTTGCTGAAGACCTGTGTATCTATGAAAGCTATAGTTGACAACAATGGAAGATATTTAGTTTGAACAAATAATGGTCTAGCAAAAATTGTCAAATGTTTTATCAATATGTTGACAGAATTGGGCAAACAAATTGTTAACATTCTTTATGTACAATCAAGTGGTTGAAGATACATGATATAAAAGGACATAATTAAATTTTCCATCCCAGATTGTGAGTAAAAAAAAAGAAATAACTATATCCCAAAAGATTTAACAAAGGGGAATAACTTTTTGTGTACCTTGGCGTGGACTTGTTATTGCTATGTTTATTGTGATCCCTGCTGGCTTTGTCTTGGCTGTACTGGGTATTGAATCTGATGCCACATAACTCATATTAGAATTATCCGGGCCATTACTACTTGTGAGATCACTAATAGCCCCGTAAGACCCAACTGCAAAAATTAACACAGTAATTGTTGATGACAGCAACAGTAAAAGTTGCCAGGTTAACTTGATGATGTATTAGCTAGTTTTGGTGGATGTTCATTTTGAATATACATAGGTAATTTAAATTAAAGTATACATATATGCCTAACTTATATTGTGATTTTTTAGTTCTATAAAAAGTTTATATTCAAGCAACAGAATTGGAAATAACTGAGGTGATGCTCTATTGTGTTATTGCAAATACACATGACACAATAGACTGAATTAATAAGTACAACAAACACACAAACATTGTTAATAGCTTATCAAATGAATACATAAGCTGTCTTATGATTAAAGAATTTATAGTGATTAATAACAATACAAAATAAAAATGTTTTAGGTGAACACTATCAATAATGTAACATTCAGTGAAAAATATAAACTGGAAGGCAAACACATGATAAAATAGGCTTACATGTAAAGAGAGTATTAGCGCAAAAATAGAACTGGTATTTTTCTCAATGAATTCATATTGCTGTGACTATGTCCATTACTCTAGCAGTTTGCAACATGAGCAAGACTACACTTGCAGTTATTATCAAAATACCTTCCACAGCTTCCTTAGCTAGAACCAGACACAACACAGATGTGGCATTAGTCTGATAGTGACACATAACCCAGCAATTCAAAAGTGTGGGGTATCAATTATTTTAATACAATATTTATATATAGTGTACAAGGTTATATAAGCATCATTTAAGAAAATTGTTTTGATGCGATGGGTACAGCCCAATCGCATTTACAGGAGCTGTTAAGTAGTAAAACAAATGCACAATTATCTTATGCATGGTTCCATTTCATTTTCAACAAAAGGCTGAATAGGCCTGCATCACTCACCTGTTAACCAATGACCATCACATTAACACAATCAATGTTTATCACAAATAAATTCACTTGTCGATTCCAAAAACAAACTAAAGCTCCTAACACTCATCTCTAAACAGTGACAGTTATGAACCAGATAAATGTCATTTCTTTCTGTTTTGAAATCTGACAGGTTTTCACCTAAAATAACCACCAAATATCCTGTTTCTCAGACTTTTAGTTTACTGGGAAAGCTTTTAAAGGTTTTAACAAATTTGACCCCTGTGATCTAGCCCAGTATTAAGCTTCTAGGCTTTTCGGTTAACCAGGAGAATTTGTCTGTTTTGACAAATTTGACCTCCTTCACTTCATCCCAGAAACCTAACAGGCAAATATCACAACTCTAAGTTTGTTGGTTATCAGGAAAAAGTTGCAGGAGAGAAAATACAAGAGAGAAGATAAGACAATTAACCTCAGTTCTGGTAAACTATAAATGTTGTTATGTTTCATGTGTTTAAGTACTCTCTATTTGCAAAATAGAAAAAATATAGCTTGAAAATAAAATCAATCAAAATGCTGTGAGGCCATTTCATGACTTCTGTCAGATCCATTCTACATCAGGGTTTTGACCTTTGATGTGAAACCTATCTAAGTACATTTTGTGTATACATAATGTAGGGTACTATTGTTACATTACGTATGCATGCAGGAAATAAAACAAGTGTTTCTTTATTTCTTTATTGATTTTTAAAGAAAAGCCATAACAGGTAATGGCTATGCAGTTACATGAATGACCTTGTCTGAGACAGAACAAGTACATCATTAAGCCAAGATTCATTATTAGGCCCTGGTCTTTATTTAGGTCATTAGGAGGCAGAGTCTATCATGAGGCCTACAGGTCTGTCATTAGACCAAGTTCTGTCATAGGGCTCAAATCTGTTATTAGCCTGTTATGAATTTTTAGACATGTCATTATGCTAAAATCTTTCTTTAGATAGAGATCGGTCATAGACAGAATTTTTTTACTAGACTGAAGTCTGTTGAGAGGCAGAGGTCTATTGATTTCTTACATCCAGCCTACTAGTTAAGCTGAGGTCGGTTACAAAGTCAATGTCCTTTATTAGACAGAGGTCTGTCTTTAGTCTGTGTTTGTCACGAGGCTTAAGTTTGCTACTAGATCAAGGAAAATGAGAATTTTCTTTAAATTTGAACAAAGTTTGATTTCATCCAGAGATTACTTTACATTTTATGTTAAATTATCCATCAGTTGTGCTCCAAGATAACATGTTCACCTTACATTTCACACTAACATCATAACTGAGAATATTTTATAACTACTAACTTCCACGACGAATCAAAAGAAGATTAATGATCGGTGTCAGTAAATGTGATTTCAGAATCATGGTGATATGCTTATATTATACAGACAATTTCAACAAATAATGCTAAATAGAAATGGTAAAATTTAGGTGGAGTTTTTGCTGTCATCACATCAAACAGTTTGAATGTCACACACAGTGAGAATGTCAATGTGATTCCTATTCACCAGGAAATGGCTGAACTTGAAGTGAAATCAAATTATTCAATTTCGTGAATTAGAAAATTAACATCTCAACTCAAAGGAATGCTTTACCCTGTAGAAGACCAACCTTTATAAAAAGGGACTGCAAGAAGAGAAATATGTCACTATAAAGGAGATAGATGTACATATATATATAACACAAAAACAAGCTGGGTTTTTTTCTACGTTAGAAGGTTAAGTTCAGTGTACTTAGTTTCAAGTATGATAAGGAGTGGTTTTTTAAAACAAAATTTAACATCTATTTCCCATTTGGGAACCCTGGTTTTCAGAGTTGAACAAACTTTGTTTATCGAAGAAATATATGCTTTCCCCAGGTGATCAAATTTGACTGAAATCCACTCAAGTATCCAAAGGAAGAAAAGTGCTTTAATGAGACATTTTAGCCAATTCCTCTCGTGAGACCTCTACCCCTCGAGGTCAAATCAACCTTACACAGGTGTTATCAGCAGAAATATAGTTTTATGGGGCCCCATCCCCTTGTCCACAGGGATAGAACCATCCTACTTATCTAAGGATTGCCATCTCCTAAGGATGTTTCAGACCAAATTTGGTTGAAGTCATCTCAGATGTTAAGGAGGAGAGGCATTCTAAGAAATGACAGAAACATGAGAACAGACATGAACAGACAAAGCAATATGAAATGATCCGATGTGTAATAATAAACTGCATGTTATCGGTTAAATTAAAAGCGGTAGTTTGAAACAATTGTCAATTATCGCACTCAGGGAATGATTTTTTTCTAACTAAAATCAGCACAAAAACAGAAAATGGACTGAAAAATCAAATTGTAAATGACATGCAATTAAAAGAAATCCTTAGGTAGAAATCTCTATTGCATTAAATATCAAACCATGCTGTTTTATTTTCAAATGATTTCTTCATGACTTATAATATCTTTCATCCAAAATTTTGGTTTAAGGGTTTAAGACACATCATCTATGTTTGCATACCATATGAAATTGACAGGTAAAATATGTTATTTTCTACAGTTTTTACATATTAAAGAATATGTACCATAATAGAGTTATATCTTAAAATAGGAAATTATTTTTCATTGTCAACAAATCTTAAATGTATATTAACTATGAAGACCTAACATTGACCTTTTTTTAAATGTGTATTGTCAAGCTTCTTTCTGTGGAGGAAATATATTAATTTAGTTTATTTTGCATGACAATATTCCCATATTAATTTGAAAATTGTATTATTTCTTTCTGTACAAAACTTGTCTTAGTGTCTTAAACCCTTTGGTATCATACCAAGTGTTTTTCCAACATCTCTGAAAATTCTGCTACGCCTATATCGTGTTGTATGATCTGTAAAATGGCATTCAAGATTTCAAATTATGCCTACAATTACTAGGTAAACCTCTACGATTTTCACAAAAAGTGATTAGGGAAATAAAGATATTGCAACCAGTGTCATTATGACACGTATCTGATTTGACGTAACAGCAGACAATCATAAAAGGCAAACTTAATTTAGATGACATTTTGATGCTATATAAAAAAGATTTCTCTCTTCACAATGATTAACTACTAACTAATTACTACCAATGAAATCGTAAATTGATGACTTTGTTAGGTTTTCTTAAACCAGACATCTATCTATTGTATATCATATTGTCCAAGGAAATAATTTGGAGATTGACTGTAACACAACAGGCCCAATGAGCCTGCAACGCTCACCTGGTATATATATATACCAGCCAAATATCAACCCTCTAGGCCTTTTAGTTAATGAAAAGAAGTTGTTTAAATGTTTTAACAAATTTGATCCCTGTGACCTTGAATATAAGTCATGAAGAAGTTGTTTAAACCTTTAAACAAATTTGACCCCTGTGACCTTGAATTTAGTCAAGGTCTTATCTTTTGTCAAACTTTGCTGAACGTCATCCTATCAACTCATCATGTCTCTAGGCATTTTGGTTAATCATAAGTAGTCGTTTAAATCTTTTAACAAATTTGACCCCTGTAACCTTGAATATCGGTCAAGGCCATTTCTTTTCTCAAACTTTGTTGGGGCTTATCCAAGGAACTTGCCAGCCAAACATCATTACTTTTGGACTCTCATTAAAAAGAAGTTGTTTAAAGGAGAAGTGGATGCCAGACAGACGGACAACAAATTCTGCACCACGCATAATCTCACTTGGCCCTTTAGGCAAGGTGAGATAAATATACTAAGCAGCCAGATTTATGAGATATTATTGTCAAATAGTAAGACAATCCTCTCAATAAACAAGAAGGATACAAAGCATTTGAACAGAAAACAAGCTTACATAACAACTCTTTGAGATAGGGTATTTTTGGATTATTTTCAGACAAAAATTTACCGATCTGGCTGATAAATTCCAGCTGATAACTGCAAACTGCTGGTGTAATACCCAAACATTCTAATGGAAATATCCATGGATTAACAAAGGATATCATTAGAAATAACCCTATAAAGAAATTATTGATGTGTGCACACTTTGCCTCTGTTGGAGTCATGCTGTGGCAGTGAACAAATGGAGATCTGGAATGATTTTTGTGAATTGGAGATTGGAGCTATGTGATTATATTACTTAGGTTACAGGATATTAAAGAAGTTTCTATTTCAAACAAGTCATAGACTGATTCAAGTTTTTATTTCTCAGCAAAAATTAAAGGATCAAGAGATGCGTTTTCTATAATATCATACAAATTGAAAACAATGTCCATATTGTAACATATTTATCACTTTCTGGCTGGTGCAGTGAATAAAACAACAAATAATGGGCAAATTCACTGAATAACAAGACAATTATGTGATAAAAACCGTATTTTCCAGGTTATAAGCCGCAGAGCCAATTTTTAACAGTGATAAAAACTGGATATTTTCCTTTCTGATGATGTGGTTATAAGTTTGCTGATGTAACAGACAACAGAAGGCAATTTATCAAAATCGTCAGTGAATCAATTGATTGAAGTTTGTAAATGAATTGTACACAGATAATCCTTTCTTTGACATGTTTCAAAAACATGAAATAGCAATTATCAAACTTATTTGGCCTGGAAGCCTCTGAAGATTGCCTATGCAAAGATAAAGGGTCTGACATTACATACAGTTTACTTAACAATATCTCCATTGGTGTCTGTACTATTAAATATTAGCAAGGCTCCTGCATGCTGACAAAATTCTTATAGGTCCATATTATCTCTTGTCAGTTACATGAAGCCATTCTTATCATAAACAAGCATGATGGTCATTCTAGAATTTGACCTGATACATCTTCAGGTTATTGTAAATTTTTTTCATTCATATTGATTAATCACATCTACCAATCTTAAATCATCCTGTTTATGATTGCAAATGACGATTCTAGATGATCTGTTTCAGTCACAAACATGTGACGGATAGGTCCTCGTAAAAACTGTACTGGTACACTCCATTTTTTTCATTTTGCCTATTTTTTTCGTCCACATGTAAACCGCACTGGTTTAGAAGTCACACCCCCGATCGTCAAGGACAAAATGGCCATGGCTTATAATCCAGAAAATACAGTACCTGACGTGCTGACATAACACAAGCAAATATTGAAACATACTGTGTTGTAGCAAGGTAAACAGTGAGGGAGTGGGTAAAAGTATATTATCATACCTACAAGCAAAACATTATTAACATATAGTTAATCACTGTATAAATCAAAGAAACAATAAAATGCTGCAGATTTACAAAGACAAGAAGTCAACATCAAACAAATATGAGGCAAACATAAATCAATCGGATGTGAACATTGCAGTTTTTATCATCAATCTTCATTTTATAAAGTGATAAACAGTATACACTGATAGCAATGATAGACAAGAGGCTCACAGGCTTTCATGTTTATCTGACTATATAGTGCTCAGCTACTCTACAGCTTACAAACAAGACATTAATGGTTTATCAAAACATTTTCTGCAAACATGAAATCATATTCTTTATACATGCTATACTACACAAATGCCAATACATGTACTTCAAACCTGTTGCTTGCTGAAAAAGAAATTTTCAGATCACAACTCACTTAACCTAAGAGATCTTGAATATAGGTCAAGGTCAATTATCTGAACAAATCAGAAGCCCTTCATCCACTTGTATCAAAGAATCAATATCTACAGCAAGGACCTTTTAAAGGTTTTAAGTGGGTCAAAGTAATTCATATCAACAAACTTAGTAGCCCTACATCCTAGCCCAGGACCAATATCAGCACCCTGGGTCTATTGCTTATTAGAAGAAGTCCTTTAAAAATTTTGACCCCTGTGACCATGAAAATGGGTCAAGGTCATTCATATAACTAAAATAGTCAGTCATTTCTCATATAAACACTTAAATTGAAGTTTTCTTGCTAGCACATCCAATGCGAACAAAAATAGATAACAGGACAGTTTGGGGATTTTTTGAACCGTTAAGGTCTACCAATGGTATTATCCAGGTGATATATTTGTAAAATTATAGAGACCTGAAAGATATTTCAGCAGCAGGCCTTTAGGGACATTACTGACATCAAACAATGTATTTTGTATGTCTTTTTCTAAATTTGAGCTAAATTACAAAGGAGGACTTAAAACAAACTTTTAGGCATATCAGTATGGTGCTGAACTCACCAACATTTGACTTGTAAACGTACATTGTACAACAAGGAGACATTATAACTACATTATATGTATGTGATAGTAACTGTTAAAACTTAACCCCTATCACTTGTCATTGGGACGATGACTGATGTATGCTTGTCTTAACTCTATACAGTAACTAAATCCCTATTACTGACATCTTCCCTACGATGTCCCAGCTGACTGATGTCCCAGCTGACTGATGTACGCTTGTCTTGACTGTATACAGTAACTAAATCCCTATTACTGACATCTTCCCTACGATGTCCCAGCTGACTGATGTCCCAGCTGACTGATGTATGCTTGTCTTAACGGTATACAGTAACTTAATCCCTATTACTGACATATACCCTACGATGTCGCAGCAGCTAAATTTACCAATTCATACTATGAACCTGTGGTGATCATCCCATGGCTACAAGTGACAGGTAAGCAAATCTATCTCTCCTGCAGGGTTTGTAGTACATGTAGTTGTTTAAACAGTCTAGTGACTTTTTACTGTAATACTTAATGAACATTTTGAAGCTATCATCATTTCTTACAAATCAAATAACATTTCACTTTTTAAGTGAAAACAACTTTGTGTTTTCAAAGTGTCCTCCATAGCATTTTTACCACACTAGTGAAGTATTTCCTAAGAACTTCTATAGTGTAACCAGAGGATTACCTTTGTCCTAGTCGTTCCATTTAAAATATAACAGCAAGCATGCACAGGTTTGTGATTGGCCATACATCGACTGTGAAGCAAGTGTAATTAAATTATGCCTTAAATTATATCAGGCAAGCTAATGGGAAGTGCCATGCAATAAATAAATGTATACCTACCATCTTTCAGGTTACTTTTAGCCTCCATTACTTTACTTTGTAACATTGCGATCTGCTTATCTAGTTGGTCGTTCATTTCCTGTTGTGTTTCACATCTTGTCTTCCATTCATTTCCTTCAATTATAAAATTCCTCTTACATCCTTCTATAAAGATGACAAGCATATATATGCATTAAAATACCCTGAATTTTCAATTTATTCTGATGAAATCAATATGCAACATAATATCAACATATTGAAAGATAAAACATTCTGTCATCCATATTCTTTTGTTAAAGTTTCTATACAAAAGGCCCAACAGTTCTACAAATATAAGATATCATTGTTCTTGTAATGCTTGAATTAAAGAAATAATCAACACTCAAAAATGTAATTTTTTTGCTATTAAAGTTTTTTTTCTAAATTTTCTTCCACATATAGCAATATTATTTTTGTTAATAGTTGCAGTTAATTCTTAGGACATGTTTATGTAATAGGTACATGTATTGATATAATATAGTTATCCTAAATCAATGAATCTTGTTATGAATTAAAGTGAAATACAGATCCCTCCAGTTCACTAAAAACTTTTTCAGCTTATCACAGACTTCCCTTTTAAGAGGACTATCAGTGCAGACTATAAGCCTAATTCCCTATCATGGATCTTCAAGACAGAATCACTATGATCCGAGATGGCCCACGTCACTTTGGTGACACAAGATGATCAAATCCCTCAAATCATCAGTCATGTTCTCTGTGATAAAGCCCTCAAGTGTCATGACGACCACATAAAAAATTAACGTGTCAACATACTGACAACACAATCCTCAATTTGTATCCACCTATAGACGTATTAAAGTCATATATAATAAAAAAGTGCCTATCATAAGATAGATTAGTTTAAAACCATTGTATCACATCCAGATATGTATACACAGTAAATCTCATTTGTGTAGAACATGCTTGAATCAAATACATTGGATGAGTCAAATGTTTTGTTCCATCCAGAGTTTTTCTCTTCTTTAACTTAGTCAATTAAACATGGATGATTAGAACATTGTTTGTGTTGAATATATTTTGTGGTTCCTTTGTTTACACAGGTACATATGAGAAAGGTAGAATTTTATAACTAAATACACTGTAGTCTGTTAACTGTAAATCTACTGTGTTTTGTTTATTTTTTTTATTTGCACACTGACAGAAACCAAAAGGAAAAAACAAACGATAACTACTGTGCCGATGCAGATTAATAAAAATACTAGTTTGTCATTGACCCATGTGTTTACGATCTTTAATACATTTACTGGTAGTTCTATTTTATTCAATATTACGGTTACACTCTTACAGTGCTTCACATGTAAAGTAATGCTTTAAGTCAGATGACCCAAAAGTAGAATAAGTTACATTTGTGAATTGACTAACTAGCATTTATTTTGTAACCTATCTTAAAAGGACTTACCCTCATCCACAACGCCATCATAGCGTTTCTCTAGCTCATCTATAGTGTACTGTAGTTCTGCTGTGGACTGTTCCAGCATTTCTCTAAAATATCAACACAAAAACTGCTTTTACAAAAATAGACGCATATGAAAGTAGAAATGAAAATATTCTAAAGATCTATTCCTAAAGTGATAAAATAAATGTAGAATATGAATAAAAGGCCCAAAGGGCCTGAAGGGTCATCTGACTATAAAGAACCATAAGTGAAAGAGGCCAAATAATCTTAAAATATGTTGCTCAACTACTATACAGCTTACATAGTTGGTACATAAAGACATTTTCTGTAAACTTGAAATAATATTCTTTATACACTACACAAATGCCTTTACTCTGGCATATTGATTGTTGAAAAAGCAAGCTAGATAATATCAAGACCCTTTTACTTTTGGTTATTGATAAAAAGTTGCTTACACATTTCAAAACACTTGAACTCCATATTCAAAACGCAGTTCATTACACAAGTTGATATACAAACATCTCAACAGCTGAAGCAATAATAATCAGGAGTACCACATTTTCTAGGTTATAAGTCATACCAGCATAGGCTGCAGAGCCATGTTGACCATAGATTGTTGATATAACAAGAGGCCTAGAGGTGCAGCTGCAGGCATTTTCTTATATGTACATGTACAAATCATTCTATTGATACAATATTGAACTTTGAAATTCTGATCAATATACATATACAGATAGCTCACAGGAAGCTTGGAAGTGCTGGAGTTCTTAAGAAATCACATGTTAGTAGGTCATGGGGCCAATTCAAATAGGGGAATAAGTTTTCCCTGTTTTGTAACTAATTTGATTATTTTTAATTTGTTAATACAATTTCATGCTGCATTCTTCGTTCTAGGAGTTCTGTCAATACCTATCGTCATCTGAATGAATATAGCACAAAATATATTGTAATGTATAGTGTGCATCCAAACAAAAAACATGAAGCAAATGTGAGCATGTAAGGCCATCAGTAACCCTTACTTTGCCTGAGAGTCTTTGCCTATAGTTTGCCTATATACATTAATATTTGCCTATAGCTAACTATTACGTACAACAGCCTTCTGTGTATGAGATCTGTATTCTGATCATGATCTGTTGCAACAGTAAAATGATATACTAACTACAATGTGGCAATTACACTGAGGTAATATAAGAAAAATCTAATAAACATAATCAGAAAATGTGCAACATTTCAACAACATTGAAAGGCAAGTGTAGTAACTAAAACACAGCATTCTGATTGGTCAAGTTTGAGATATTTTTTATGAATGAAATCTTATGAATGAAAATTAGTTATGCCAAATCTGAATGCAAGATGTCCCTACTGGTTTCTTTTTTGAAGTGAACTGTAAATGCAAAGACAACATAGAACATCAACAAAGTTTGTTCATATTAATAACATACACAAATATGTAATATCTGAAGAGGAATTGAAAATATTTCTACTATTTTGAAAAGATTAGTTACATTGTATAATGGACTTTTAGAGAAAATGTTATTAAAACACAACAAAGCTTGTAGCATTCAAAGAGGCAGTCTCCTGCCCGTCTATTGTATGTTCCTGATGTATATGTCAAGTTGTGAGAGCCATTACTATGATCTATTGCATTTGTGGACTTGTTGAAAACATGTTTGCATTTCCCGTAGATAAATGCTGATCATTCAATGGGATGTGCGTTGTATGACCTAAATCAACAATATTAATCTCATATGATGACATAGTGAAATAAGTAATGTACATAAGAAGTGGGATATTTGTTTACAGTACAAACAGTAGCTATAGTAGCCCTAAAATAGTCTCTTGTCTTAAATGACAGTACAGTAACTAGAGACGTAAATAACATAGGTTAAAGCGTACAAGTAGACCTACATGATAATGCATGTAACGGGTGCGTCTTTCATTTATTTTTTTGGATTGAGAAAAATCGCTATGAAAATATGATGAAGGTGGGGATAATTTTAAAATTTCGCGAAGATCACTTACTTCATTTGTTTCTCCTGTTGAATCTCGGCTCTTATCTTCTCCAGTTCGAAGTCGCCAACAACTGCTACCGCCATTTTGACTCTTTTCAGTATCTATGTGCATGACGTCACTTGTTGATCATAGTTTAAAAAGCGCTTCAAATCAACCTCTACCAGAGTTGCCGTTCCTTAACATTCACAGTATCGTTTGCAATATCTCCTCAAGGTTATTTTTCCATTTTTTTTTTGTTATGGAGTGAAAACTTATACGCCACACCAGGGACGTCTCTGACCGCACTCAACCGTGAAATTTTCCATTTTTTTTTGCAAAATACAGCTGTAATACGGTTTTATTTAAGATTTTTTGAAATTCCAAACAATAAATATACTTATCTGGTTCAATCAGAATTATGATTTATTATGATAGCGACGAGGATCGCAGGTCGTTTGCCCGAACTACGGGAGGCCACTCCTTCAGTCTGGCCCCACTTGTATAAAACATCTCAACTTGAGATTTCCTCAAGTCGAGATTTTCCTCAGCTGATATCTCCTCAAAAACGGCTTGTATAATTTTTTCTCAAGGAACAGGAGGAAGTCATCGGCTAGGATGTTCTGAAGTTCCTTGAGGAATTTTCATACAAGATATTTTCAAGGAGATATTAGCTGAGGAAAATCTGGGCTTGAGGAAATCTGAAATTAAGATATTTTATACAAGTGGGGCCTGATTGCATATGCGCGTGGGCGTTGCAGTATCGCCGGTAACATTCTCAGTTTTGCCTTATACCACCAAGGAAGGATGATGATGATGATGATGATGATGATGATGATGGTAAATCGTTTCCAAGCTCCTCCCGTTGCCGGGCGTTGTCCAATAGACTGATGTCGATTTTCTGGCGACGTGACGGGGTGCTCCCCTCATGGGATGGAGTCGTCTGTGGGTGGATTAGTCTTTAGTTTGAAGACGGTTCCCTGGCCTTATGATCCTAATGTCTCCTGATCTTCCTTGTCTGAAAGTTCCATGCGCATATAGATATGCATCAGAATGAAGAAGTGACTTCCCCAGCACAAACAAACGAGGAGTGTCCCACCCCAGCACAAACAAACGAGGAGTGCCCCACCCCAGCACAAACAAACGACCCACGATGCTCGTTGCAGTCACAATAAATGCAAGATAAGATATGAGCGTCCAGTGATTTCTTTCGTAATCAGTCAATTTTTACATTTGTATTCCTTTATCTACACTGATTGATAAAGTCGACAGCGGGGAGAAGAGAGCACATTTTCACACAGTGTAAGGTTGCCATTGAATGGCCTTGACTTGATCCGCGATCTGTCTTTAAGTAATCCGCGACAGATCCTTTTTATAAACTTTCCGAGAAATGACGATAACAAACTTTCACCTGTCGAAATGACCACATGTCTACCATCTTATTTGCTGATCAGTCTCAAAATTAATCATGCACAATTACAGACCACATGGATCCTACATGTGAGATTTGAGAAACTCATGCCGAACTTTCTTAGAAATAGCAATAACGATCTTACGGTGTCAAAATTCAACATGGCTGTTTGTCTACCATCTTGTTTTGTACAACTAGGGATCAAGGGGAACTGGCATTTTCTGAGAAATAGCGACAAGGTTTGTCTAGGGACAGACGGACCACGAAATAAAGGGCGATTTGAATTGACCAGCTGCTGATGATGGTGGTCATATATATACTTGTTGTTTAACAGTTTAACATGGGACATCAAAGTACTGGGAATATTGAAGAAACATGTAAGCGGTGTGGAGGAAACAACCAACCCAATACATGCCAATTCAAGGATTATGAAGGTTACAGGTGCACATAAATCAGACGTGCTCCAACAAATCGATCCAGTCATTCACGACTAGTAGCGATTGGTAGAAAAAAGATGACAGACGGCTAGACGGACGGACGGACGGGTGATAGACGGCGCAGTATGCCAATAAGCTTACTTGGCCCATCTAGCTTTAATGCTATACAGAATTAAGTTAAACAGCTTTCCAAGAAATAATGATTACACACTTCAACTGTCAACATCCAGGATGACCACCTGTCTACCATTTTGTTTTTCTGATCAAACTCAAAATTGGATCAGTACAACTAGGGACCAGGGACACTTTTATACGTATAAAGATTGAGAAATGTCATTTCAAGGACAGAAGAAAAATCACTATAACTCACTCTACCCCAACCTTATTAGACTTTTAGAACTTAAATGATCGTTACAGCTTTATACACACATACATATATAGAGGTCTATCAATAGGGACAATGTTTCAGGTTGCAAGATATTCCCTAAAACTCCTGCAATATGTAGCCTAGCGTTGTCATGCTGAAAGGTCCATCTTATAATGAAAGGCACATCATGAGGCCTCTTACTTTTTATAGTTATGCATATTCAATAAAAAAACAACAACATTTTACATTGTAACTTCTCCAAACCAACCATGCATGCAACATGAATATTTGGCTGGTTTAGGAAGGCTAGTATTGTAGAAGTGAAGCAAGTTGACGTTCCACACTCGGATGTAATTCAACCGACTCTGTAATGCTATTAAAAGATAACAAACAAAACTCTTACATATATCAATTTTATTCATTTTTTTCTATTTTTTATTAGATATTTTCCTTTGAATATCATGCTCATATGATAAATATATCAAAACAGTGACAACATGTTAAATCATGCGTACTAACTGGTGAAGACACATGTAATAAAACATGAAGTGTGGTTTTTATCAACCTTTCCAGTCAAAATTAATTTCTGTACATATCCTTGAAATGACCTATAGAGAAAGTGTTTTCGTTCCCATCTAGGAAACTAATATAGCTGGGGCCAGTAATTGGTACTTTGTGTCCGTCCGTCCGTCTGTCTGTCTGTCTGTCTCTCTCTCTCTGTGTGTGTGTGTGTGTGTGTGTGTGTGTGTGTGTGTGTGTGTGTGTGTGTGTGTGTGTGTGTGTGTGTGTGTGTGTGTGTGTGTGTGTGTGTGTCTCAGGCTTGTCAATTGGGTTTGTAATGAATCGTGCACAAGAAGTGCACAGCACATAATAAACAACATTTATCAGATGCCAAGATTCCAAATTCCTATATATATCCTGTAAGAAACGAGGACTGAATTACAAACGGTTATGTGAACATTGAATAAATGATACTTACATTTAAATATATATATATATGTTACCAGTGCCGTCTCTACCTTAGCTGTAGGAATAGTGTAAACAACCGATGACGTCAATGTAACGAAGTATTTGTTTACAGTTCATCGCGGGTGTTTACATCATATCTTGACGCGTACGATTTTATCATCAGAACGTTCCGTTTGAGTGACAAGGATGAATACAAGATATTTATATATAGATATATTATAAATTATAATTTATTTATTTATTTATTTATTTTTTCAGATTGATACACTTGAATTATCTGAATGTTTATAAATATATTCTTTAATAACTATTTTATCGCTATTGACGATTTTCCTATCACACTGAACACTTCTATAATCTATTCGTCGTTGTATGATGTTTTGTGCGGAACTGCAGGGACGTTAATATCGACTCATCACGTTCCGGCCTCTCCAGGTCCAGCCGTCTAGTCGTTTCGGCTCCTTAGTCTATCCGACCCCAACTTAGCAACAGTCAATAACTTCTACTTTGCGTTTTGTGTATTGAGTTATTATTAAAGTGTACTCTGAGAGAAAATAGAAATGAATATAGTATTATTTGTTATGATCTGAAATCGAAGAGTTTGAAAACCGCATCAAAATCGGTCGGTCCAAAACCGAGATATGTAAAGAGTACGATTTTCGCTTGCCCTTCTACTACTACTCAGCTTATGGACGAACCGCGCTGATTGGGACCCTATCAGCTGTGACGTCACAAGACGAAAGAGCAGTAGCAGACGCGATGGAAGAAATAAGCGAGATGAGAATTGTTATGATAGGAAACGTCAGATTGCAGATGAATATATTACAGTTTGGAGGAATAAGATAATTCCGAATTCAGGCTAACGATAACTATATATAGACGGTAAACAGTCATATGAATTTACCAGAAGTTTCAGTTAAGTTATCGTTTTAAAACATCTTTATTGTAATCCGTCTTAGAACAAAAGGGATGAGGCACCAGTTACACACATTTATGTATGGAAACAACTATTATCATGGCAATTTGCATACAGTGTATCTCTACAATAAATATTATTTATAAAAATCAAAATTTGTTACTAGACTTTCTGTAGGACTGCACATGTATGAAGATATTTGATTTAAGGCCTGTGGTAAGATGAGGACTTATTTTTTAGAAATTTTAGATCGAAATATTCCTTTAATTGGCATAAAGATGACACTATAAAAAGTAGTGAAAGATATTTTCACAAGGATTACCCCTAGTACGTGAAGCTTTATTTAAATTTACTTGTGAGTTTTATTGAAAGAAAACAAACGACTCAAGGGTAACAAAGCATAGTAGTATTACAGTTTCTGAGTACTGATGAGGAATTTGCCTTACGTATCTCGTGTCAGAATTTCTATATTCGAAAGTTATTTACCGTGGTTCCAGTTCGTTCCACAAATACAGAAATGTGTTTGTATTTGCAAAATAACTTCAACGTTGGTGTCTACTGCTTTTGATCAATAATAAGATATATGTTATATTTTTTATAGATCATAATGACATATTAAAATCATTGTGTATTCCTTATGTTGTCGACAGTGAAAAATATCTTTTTTTTTACAGTACTTATGTATGAGACGCTTAATTATATTACGGACTTAGATAAAATATTTCCGATATTTTCTCAATAATAACAGACTGTATTATACGTCACTGAAAATATGAATGAATCATGAGCGCCAATTTTTTCTCCGTATACATGCAGTATACATAAGTTATGATATAGTGGTCTGATTAAACCTTAGAACTAAATAACTAAAATACGTATGCTTAGGTGTGAAATATATGTATAGATAAATAACACTAAACACATTTGTGTCACGTGCTGTCGATTGGTTGGATGACAGGTTTTTCTTTATACCTGTATCAAGTTATGAGATCAAAGGGATGTCAGCA